CCAGTAAATATTGCTTGAATGAATGAACAAATGAATGGATGATGTGATGGTATATCAAACACGAACAAACAATATAGCTTTTTCAAAGCAGAATATTGCTAAGCTTCACTCAGGATAATTTCTTTATTGGACAGATATATTTTTGTGTCACTAATCTACCAAATTATATATGGCCTGAACTTTGTGAGACTAACTGCTTTAGTCACTTAAAAACATCTGTTCATACATTTATAAAATCAGCTATTCAAAAAATAAGATAAAAAAATGGCATCATCTAAACAATATCTAATTTTCTAATTTATTGGAATAACAGCCAAATCTTGAAATGAGTATTGTCTCATAAGTTTTTGATGTATATTGTCTTTTATAAGAAAAATACAATAGTCATGTCTGTAAGACAAATGCCTATCATATTTGATGTGGGAGAGGGGGACTGAAGGATATCTTAATTGTGATACCCAATATTCCTAAATAGACCTTCAAACAACTGGTCTGACTTGCTATATTATAGACCCATATTAATATAAGCATTCGTTTACTTTGTACATTGCAAAAGTTGTTTCCTATAGGGTTTGGAATAGTACATTCTTCAATGTACTATTTGGAGTACAGACAGTATTTAGGGAAGAAATGAATTCATATATACGTATAAATTTCACAATGAGTATATGATGTCAATTGACCAGTTTTCTTCCAAAAGAATTATTTTATTACTGATTAAATGGAATATCATATTTGATATCAACAATCAACACCTAAGTCAATTATAAAAACAACATACGTAGAGTGAATGGAAAAACCACTTTAGGCCAACACATTCTTTTTCTGATACGAAGTGGTGAAGTACAAGTCAACACATAACTGTAGACATATCATAGGCATATATCACCACTAAGTAGAGATTGGGTTTCAGACACAACGAAAATAGTACTTTTAATATTTTCTTTAAGAGAATCAAGTCTTTTTAACCATTGGAAGTTAAAGAAAATTGCAAAAGACTGATGCATAGTATCAGCAGTGAGATGCCTATTGATTTCTCAATTAAAGAAAGTAATGAAGAATCAAAAGAATCTGATAATTTAAAGTGAGGAAACTAGAGGCCCAGTCAGCCCCGATTACTAGTTGTACAAAGTTAGACAACCCCACTTAATTTCTCAGTTTTTGTTTTTTTATCTATAAAACACAGAATACATCTTGTTATTTGAAGCAGATAAACGCTAAAGACATCTCTTATTCTAGAATTTTAATACCACCTTGAAATCAGCCAATTGACTTGCATCTATTACCATAGAATGTATCCTGTTGTATATTTTCCCATGCCTAAATTATGATAGAAACCCTTAAAGTATCACAGGAGCTCGGTTTTACAGAATTTACTCACAACGAACTATCTCACTGCCACCTCATGCTGTTAATTTCACTTATAGAAAAAAAAAACTGGTATTATTTTGAAGCCATAAAGATTAGTAATTATATAATAGCATAGGCATGTGGAAGAAAATTTCAAATATTATAGAAGAGGAGTTTAGGCATCTAGACTCTAGCTAAGTTCCTTTTAAGCAATCTTATGAAGTGAAGTGCAATTGTAAGTATTTTACCCGGAAAGAGAGCTAATGAAGCTGAGGTCACTGGTTCAATTCCCATGTGAGCCATTAGCTTAACTTCATTCCATTGTCACAGACCTGCCACCTTCTTAACCCTGACTCACCATCCTTCATATTCATCCTAGTGGCTGCAAAGGAAGTTTGGCCAGATTGCTTGAACACATAAGCAAAAATCTACCCTCTTTGCTAGAAATATAAGTCAAAGGTCAAGCCCCAGTGATGTGACATCATCCCAGTATGGACAGACAAAATGATCATTATGACTGTTATTGTTATCATCAACACCAGGATCACAATCGTCTTCACTATGCCTGAAGTCCAGCATCATAGCTAAGAAAGCAGGTTCTGCAATCAGACTGTATCTGATTCTCAACTCAGGTCTTATTTATTAGTTCAACGACTTAGACAAGTTAGTTAATTCTGAAAACTTTATTTTCCTCAATTTCAAAATAGGTATGGTAAGTCTACCTTGTTTGTGTATTTATTGCATGCTGTTTTGGCCAAATGTGGTTAAAACAAATACATGAATAAAAATCAAAAGAAATTTCAAAAACAAAAGTGGGGCTGATAAAGGAGACTAAAAGAGGAGGAAAAGAAGGAAAGAAAGATAGCAAATAATAATGAGATATATCGCATCTGTATGTGAAATACATCACATCCTGACACAAGGAAACACTGAAAATAACACAGGTTAGGGGCAAAAGGGAGAGGAAGTGCAGTGGAGAAGGGTTACACCAACTTAAGCACAATGCATGTACAGTTATAATACGAAGACAAAAATCCCACTGAACAGTGAACAGATACCTAAACAATGAAGGACAAGAATGAAAAACAGGTCACTCTAAGGGGAGGTCACTAATGGGAGAGGAAGGGTAAAAGAAGGAAGTAAAGAAGGTGAATATGGTTGATGTACTTTGTATACAGTAATGATGTAAAGTATTTAAACCTGTTGAAATCAACCATATGAAGGGGACTAAGGTAAAAAAGAGAAAAATGGAGGGGATGAACCAATTTAGGATAATATGTATAATACATACATACATACACACACACACACACACACACACTATATATATATATATATAAAATACATATATACTTGGAAATGTCATAATGAAACTCCCTTACAGATATCTTAAACAAAGATTTCATTTTTCAAAACTTGAAGGACAGGAAGGTAAAACAGATCTTGTCTGGGGGTTGGTACCAGTAGGAGGGAGAAGGACATAAGGAAGGGGTGAAGGGGGACAAATATGGTGGAAATACTATGTATTCATGTATGAAAATGGAATAATGAGACTTGTTGAAAATATTCTAAGAATGGGTGCAGGAAGATAAAGGAGAATTATAGAGGGGGTGAATTTGACTAAGATATATTGTAAGCACTTTTGTAAATGTCACAATCTGCCCCCCAGTACAACAATAATATGCTAGTAAAAAGAAATTTTAAAAATTTTAAAAAAGAAAATTCAGAACAAAAATTTTTAACAACCACGTATACATTACACAGCTCAGTTGATGGTGAAGAATTCTCAGTCACACTGTGATAACAAGCACCGTTGCTGTGGTCACACAGACTAGTTAGTACTTGCTAAAAAGCATAGAACATTATTCTCTTACAGTTCTCAAGGTTAGAAGTCCCACACCAAATTGTCTTCAGGACCAACCTCTAAAGAATCCTACCTTCTTCAAACTTGTGATGACCCCAGGCATTCCTTTGCTTGTGGCAGCAACACTCCTGTCTCTCCCTGTGTCTTTACCTGACCATCATCTCCCTGTGTGTATCTGGCTCTCTCATGGTTTCTCTTTTCTCTTACAAAGATGTCAGTCACTGGATTTAGAGCACTCGCTAATCCAGATGACCTCATTTTAACTTAATTACATCTGCAAAGATTTGATTCCAAATAAAGTCAAATTCACCAGTACCAGGGATTAAGACCTGAAAATGTTTTTCTTTTTTTTGGGGGGGGACACATTTCAATTCATGACAGCATGCAAAGCAGAAAAAAAGAAAGGAAGGAAGAAGAGGAGGAAGGGAGGAAAGAAGAAAGGGAGAAAGAGACACCCATAGATACCCAAGATGTTTGTAAAGCAGAGAGATACAGAAGATCAAATGCTAACATTTCTTTAGGAGAAATAAATATCTAAGGTGCCTCAAAAAACCACTAAGCCTTTACCTGTAAGCAATAGCAAAGTAACATCCTTAAATGTGAGGCAGAACCCTGAAAATGTACTTTTGGGCCATGAGTGGAAAACAGAATGAGACAAACAGATTTCTTCTTCTGGGCGGTAGCAAAACGCTGTAAGAATCTTGATACAATTTTGGTGAAATTATTTAACTCAGTTCTTGAACACTTTGAATCATGACTAGAAGAAAATTCTGCACCATGACCAGAGGAAATTGTGAAATATTGAGACAGACACTGTGAACCTGGCTTTGAAGGTATTGGAGGCTAGGTATCTAATGACCCCAGATTAGGTGATGATCTGAAGACAGTGTCTCCTCAGGATGGTCATGTGTTGTCCATAAAAGTCTCCATAAAAGTCTTTGTGTAGTCATAGCCGGATTTTGTCTATAAATACCATTTTCCTGTCCAGGCAGTCTTAAAACAAACAAAAATAGCGTGATTGGCTTCTGCCCAAAAGAGCTAAAGGGATGAAGAACTGGTGGTTTCACTCTATCATTGATTTTAAATATGATTTGGAAAGTGCTTTTCATATCACACCCAGTCTAGTTTTCTCCTTCTGCAGTGACACTCCATTTCCACTGGATAGACTCAAGTAAATATGTTGACATTATGACCAAATACAGCTCCCTGTAGCAAAACTCTCAGCAGGAGGATCTGTACATTTGGTCACAGTTCTGATTCTATTTAAGGGTTTATCTGTCTGCAATGAGATTATGGAAAGGAGCACAAGTAGAGGAAGAATATGATGAGGGATTCTGATATTTGAAAATGGATGAGTTTCCCAAAAGATGAGCATAAAACTCTCAGGATCAAATTCAGACAGTGAGCAGGCAGGTTGCCAGCTTTGTAATTACATCTTGAATTGAGCTGTAATCCTCATCACTTCTGAAAACAATAAGAATATAAAAATGATAAACCACATTTTAAAAATACTGATATTTGCTTAGAATTCCTAATAAAATATTTTCTTGACACTTTGGTTAAGGCTGGAGAGTTACAAAAATAATAATATGTTTTGTGTAAGGAAGATAAAGGAAATAATGTATTTTCAAAGAGGAAAAGGAAACTGAGAATTTTGTAGAAGGAAAAAAAAGAAACCATGTATTTCATGAGGAAAAAAAGAAATTATGTATTTCGTTTTCTGCAAAATTAAAACTTATACGAGTCTTTTTCTTTTCTTTTCTTTTTTTAACAAAACAACCTTTAGGTTTACAACCTATGAGTATAAGCTCCTTGTACACAACAGTATGGGTTTTACATCAAGCCAAGAAACGACCATTACAACACTAGCTGGCCTTCCAAGGAGAGGAGCTGATCTCACTGCCCGTGTTCTTAGCCTCACAGCCATAGATGTGAGATGGGCTCAGCAAAGTAAGTAAGCTGCTCATATCTCTCTTCCCCTTCATGTGTTAATACCCAAAGGAATTAAACATGGGCATATTAAAAATAAAGACAAAAAAAAAAACAAGATCCTTACGCTGTTCTTCTATTTTTTTTTAAATTTTTATTAGAACATATTCATTATACCAGGAGGATTCATTGTGACTATTCTGAATATGCTTATTTTATACATTGGTTAGATCACCACCATCATCTCTCTCTCCCTCAACCCCATCCCCATTCCACTTAAAGAAATTGCAAGAGGTGTCTTTGTTCTAATTCATATAAGTATATGACGTCCATCAACCATATCCCCCCACCTTCATTTCCTTCATTCACCGTCTCCCTCCCACAAGTACTCCACACACTGTACCTATTTTACAGTCCTGTCCTTCATTATTAATTCTTAAATGATGCTTCTTAAGAAGCAAACTGTCATACTTTTTCAACTTTCTTGGACTTGATTGTCCACTCCATATTCCCTTTTGATGGGGAATGTAGTTATTGCCACCATAGCAACTTGACAGAGTTGTGATAGAAATGTCCTGCAGTATCTTGGTACAATGCACTATTGTGTAGCTTTCTGCAGAGCCACCCCCCACATCTTGTAAATGTTATTTGTTAGCAAGAACTACAACTACATGATAGGACTGTTTTTTGAGTGAATAATTTTTAGTGCTGGTTGTGGACAGAATTCCAACTGGATACAAGGGCAAAAACACCTGGACATCATCACTGGGGTCACTTCAATAATCTAAGCACTGACCTTGATTCTCATCAGACCACCTCTTCATCTGGATTTGAAAGAGCTCACAGAGGAATAGAGGAATCTCATTTCTTCTTGCAACTTTGAAAACAATAATAATTGAAATTTCAGAGCTACTTAGTCAGTGGATAGCATTTAACACGTGATCTGTTAATCTGTGGAGATCCATTATTACAATCATAAAAAAAACTCTGAATTTACCATGGAAACACATATTGTAATCATTTCTTGCCAGTATTACTTGAGTCCTGGCAAATACTTGAATTAAAACATGTTCAGGTATTACCAAATATTGAGAAATATCTGGTTTGCAAAGGCTCAATTAAAATAATTTGTTTTATGTTGAAAATCCTGCCCACTGAGCTAATTATCTATTATTACGTTAAAGATATAAAATTACTACTGATTGGGCAGTAGTAACCACATAATTTTGAGCCAGCCTTGAGTTTTATTACAACCTAAGAAAAGAAATACTTCACTTAGAACACCTGAGTAAATTTTCTCCAATGTTCAATGTTCTATGATGTCAAAGGAGAGTTGAAACCAATATTTGGTGTCATTAATTGTAAATTAAAATCAGTACTTGTGTTGGTCAGAGTTCTGTCACTTGGAAAAAACAACTGAAATAAATCAACTTGTAAGGAGGAAAGCTTATTTTGACATATGGTTTCAGAGTTTAGCCCAGGGTTAGTCAGTTAGCTCTGCTGCTTTGAGGCCTGTGTGTGGCGTGGTACTAACATCACAGAAGGAATACATGGCGAAGGAAGATGCTCACAGCAGGGCAGCCAATAAGCCAAGAGTGTGGCAGAAGAGGACCAGGGTCTCTATATCCCCTGCAAGGGCACACTCCCCAATGACCTAACTTCCTTCCACTAGGCCCCACCACCTCCCACCTTCTAGTAGTGCCAAGGGCAGGAGACTGACCCTTTAGCATATAGAGCCTTTGGGGAAAATTCTGGATCCAAAATACAGGAGTACTGGTTATGATGATCTAGATTGCCACCAAATAACCCATTTAAAAAAAATTAACTCTAAGGTTTTTGTAAAGTTGTGGGTTTCTACTGATCTGTGGCACTCATACTGAGATCATTCAAGCTATTTTAACAAGTTAATTGGTCTTATGATTATCCACTGAAACACCTCTGGGGAAAATGCAGTTTTTATCTAGGAATAAATTTTTGTATGTAATATTTTCACTCATCTCCCCCTTCCTCTCTGCTCCACCTCACCGTCTGATTCATCTTAAAAGCCTGCTCATAAAGGTAGGCTCCGCGCCCCCTTGTGACATTTGAATACTTCGGTGAAGATCCAGCTGCTGAATTTTCACCGAAATAGGTCCTTTATGTTATAATTGCATGCCTGAAGTAAGCATGCTTATAAAAACTGACAAACCTAATAGATCTGAAGCAGCTCGCTGAAGTTTCATTACCTTAGTAATCTGAACCTCTGACCTTCGGGATGTAGGTAATGCAATCTGCTGTTATTTCCATTCATACCTTAGAAATTTTTCAGATAACTATTTGTGAGCACAAAGGTTAAGTCTGAGAAGAGGGTCAGCTTTGCAAAAGCTTCTTGCATTATCATTTTCTTCCTTTGTGCCACCTGCTATCTTAAGTAAATTAACTGCCCACTCCTGTACAAAAAGGCCACCTCATTTTTGCAACTTTAATTTTGAATTGTTTTCTTGATTGGTAGAAAAAAATTGTACCTAGCTTACTATGCTAAACAGCACAAAACTATAGATTTAACATATCTAGCAGTTGAAAATCATATGAATAAATTTATATATATATATATATTTCCTCAGTAAAAATTGCCTTTCAAAATTTCATGAAAAATATTTTTACAAGCATATTCTTTCTTTGCTATGATGCTCTGTGTATGTTATGAAATGTGAGGTAGAAAATATCCATGCATTTCTTCAATTTGATTTTTTTGGGGGAACAGATTATTTTAAATTGGCAACATATAGGCCATATTTTCTTTCTCTGGTTTCCATGCCTGCAGCATCTTTGTGTGTGTGTGTGTGTGTGTTGTACTGAGGCTTGAACTCAGGGTCTTCACCTTGAGCCACTCCACCAGCCTTGCTTCATGTGGGTTTTTTTCGAGATAGAGTCTCGAGAGCTATTTGCCCAGGCTGGTGTACAACTATGATCTCCTGATCTCTGCTTCCCGAGTCTCTAGGATTTCAGTCATGAGCCACTGGCGCCCAGCCTGCCTACAGCATTTTTTTTTTAAAAATATTATTTTGCCACCATGTAACAATCAAAAGATTTCACATAAAGATGATGAGTTTGACATTCATCTTAAAAGTCAAATGATTGGGTGAAACTTTTCCTGCACTGCTAAAAAGAAAATATCAACAAGCACTGAATAGTGACCATTCCTTTAGGTAGGGGTGCCCTCACGATCTGGCATAGTGCCCATCTTCCAGGTCCCAGTAGAAACATGAGCTCCTTGCCCTTCTTTACAGAAAAAGAAATACTCTGGCCTAAATATTACGACATATTGGTGGTAAAAAAGATCACACTTTTAAAAAAAAGCATTAAGAAAAAAACACCTTCACTTAAATTGTTGATCCTCAAAAGAGTCTGAAGAAATAGAAACTAGCATTTAGTCCTTAGCAAAAATTATAGTTAGTAAATAGCAATTCCCAAACTCACATTTAAAGCTTAGGCATCAAATCTGCTACTTCTCATGTATTTTGCCCTAATGGTTATTAGCATCTTATCAAGAATGATTTGATAAGATCCTTCCCATTTTAACTGCTTTCTGTAAAACAAAAGGCAAATAAGAAAATGCTTACAGAAGGGAGTGTGGCTGTGCTTCCTTGGAGGCTGACCCACTGACAAGGTCAAAGAATTCCAGACAAGACTGTGTGATGGCTCACACCTTATAATTCCAGACATCTAGGAGGCAGAGATCAGGAAGATCATGGTTTGAGGCCACCCCTGGCAAAAGAAAAAAACAAGTTGGTGAGCCCCCCCCCCATCTTAATCAGTAAGCTGAGTGTGGTGGCACTCATCTGTAGTCCCAGCTATGTAGGAGGCATAAGTAGACTTGCAGTGAGAGGCCAGCCCTGGGCAAAACTGCAAGACCCTACCTGAAAAATAACTAAAGCAAAAAAGAGGTGGGGCTGTGGCTCCATTACCACCACTACTATGACTCCCCCTGAAAAAAGGATGGCAAGAAAAGAACAAAAAGCATCCTGGAGGTAGTAAAAGAGGGTACTGGCAAAGAGGATGTGAGCTGTTATCTCAGTGCTCACAATAGCTCACTGTCTCCCACTAGCTCATCCACATCTTCAGGTGCCATTCCTGTCCCGTATTACTCTTGCCTTGTTCCTTTTTCCCTCTTTTTCTTCCATTGTCCATCTTCCCTCTTTCTCTTTTTCTGTTCCTCCCTCTTTTCTTTTTTCCAAATATTTTCTTCTGCAAATATTTACTCATCACTTCCTTTGTCCTGGGCACTTGGTGTACAACATTAATGACCTGATTCTTGTATGATATTATCAGTGAGCTCCCCAGAAAATTTATTAAGTATAAAAGTATCACTATTAAGAAAGAATTTAATAGCACAGAAAAGCATCTGCCTCTTCCTCATCTCTTAATCAGAAACCAGATTTTATAATAGGATGAATTTCTGACTTTGTGTAAATTTATCTGATCTATGTAATAATAATTTAAATAGTTCTAAGTCTCACCACCTCTAACCACTGTTGTTAGCTTACCCTGTTCCTTGGCTCTCTTTCCCACCATTCTGGTTATCAAAGCAAATAGACAGTACCACTGCCTTCCCTCCCATTTGTTCTGCTCCTGTCATAATCTTGTCCTCTATCCTGTTCTCTACTGACGTGCTCCTCTTACAATCAGTGATTATCATCTAATGACCTAATCAATGCTCTCCTATGTACTTCTTTGTGGGGACCAGCACTATTCTATTAAGGATCCCTTACTGTCTGAAATGTTCCCCTAAGCATTATCAACCTCCCGTCTCACCAACGACTTCTTTGCCTCATCTCCAGAGTCTTCCTTTCATAGACCAATTCGCCTGTTGGTGATTCCATCTGTTCTTACAGTCTCAAATTTTTCTAACTAAAAAAATGATTGAAAAGCCATATGGATAAATGATTTTAAAAATAGGCTTTAGAATCAGGGAGAGAAATTTGAATCTCAGTTCCAATATTTTCTAACATTATAACATAGATCAAGTCACTTAAACTCAT